CACCTTGAGGGCCTGGGTGTCCTTGACCAGGATGGAGCGCAGTTGCCCGTTGAGCTCGAAGAAAACCTCGCGCTGCCCCGCGGCGTTCAGGTCCCCGAGCGCCAGCGCCTTGATGTGCAGGGTCTTACCCCGCTCCAGCTCCACCTGCGAGTAAAACAGGAGTAAACTGCGAGTAAACTGGGAGTAAACTGGGTGTAGAGTGTGTAACATGGGACTAAACTGTGTAAAATAGGAGTAAAGTGGGAGTAAACCGTGTGTAACTGGTGTATAAGGGATGTGCAGGGTCTTACCCCGCTCCAGCTCCACCTGCGAGTAAAGCAGGAGTAAAGTGGGAGTAAAGTGGTGTAGAGTGTGTAAAATGGGTGTAAACCACGTAAAATGGGTGTAAACTGTGTGTAACTGGTGTGTACGGGATGTGCAGGGTCTTACCCCGCTCCAGCTCCACCTGCGAGTAAAACAGGAGTAAAGTGGGAGTAAAGTGGGAGTAAAGTGGGAGTAAACTGGGAGTAAACTGGGAGTAAACTGTGTAAAAATGGGTGTGAACCATGTAAAATGGGAGCAAACCGTGTGTAACTGGTGTGTAAGGGATGTGCAGGGTCTTACCCCGCTCCAGCTCCACCTGCGAGTAAAGCAGGAGTAAACTGAGTGTAAACTGGGAGTAAAATGGGTGTAAACCATGTAAAATGGGTGTAAACTGTGTAAAATAGGAGTAAACTGTGTGTAACTGGTGTATAAGGGATGTGCAGGGTCTTACCCCGCTCCAGCTCCACCTGCGAGTAAAACATGAGTAAAGTGGGTGTAAACTGGGTGTAAAGTGGGAGTAAACTGGGTGTAAACTGGGAATAAACCATGTAAAATGGGTGTAAACTGTGTGTAAAATAGGAGTAAACTGTGTGTAAGGGATGTGCAGGGTCTTACCCCACTCCAGCTCCACCTGCGAGTAAAACATGAGTAAAGTGGGTGTAAACTGGGAGTAAACTGTATAAAAATGGGTGCGAACCGTGTAAAATGGGAGTAAACCGTGTGTAACTGGTGTGTATGGGACGTGCAGGGTCTTACCCCGCTCCAGCTCCACCTGGGTGTAAAACCGGAGTAAACTGAGTGTAAACTGGGAGTAAAGTGGGAGTAAAGAGGGTGTAAACCATGTAAAATGGGTGTAAACTGTGTAAAATGGGAGTAAACTGTGTGTAACTGGTGTGTAAGGGATGTGCAGGGTCTTACCCCGCTCCAGCTCCACCTGCGAGTAAAACATGAGTAAAATGGGAGTAAACTGGGAGTAAACTGGGTGTAACTGGTGTGTACGGGATGTGCAGGGTCTTACCCTGCTCCAGCTCCACCTGCGAGTAAAACCGGAATAAAATGTTTGTAAACTGTGCGTAAATGAGGTGTAAATGTGGTGTAAAGGGTGTGTAGGTGGTATAGAGTTGTTCAAAGGGTCTGTAAGGAGTGTGTAAACGGCGTGTAAGGGATGTGGAAAGTTCTGCCAGTCCCTCCCAGTCCCTCCCAGTCCCCCCCAGTCCCCTCC